GCATGTGGTGGTGATATTCATATAAAGCATGCGGTGGTGATATTCATGTAAAGCATGCGATGGTGGTATTCGTGTAAAGCATGCGGTGGTGGTATTCGTGTAAAGCATGCGGTGGTGATCTTCATGTAAAGCATGCGGTGGTGATATTCATGCTAAATATGCAGAGGTGATCGTCATATACAACTTGCAGTTGTGGCCAATAGCAGAGCATGTGACATTCCCAACCATTTTGGTACGAGATATACACATTAGCGCAGCAGCATGGCATAATCACAGAAGGCATGGAGGCACATGATCTTCACCCGAAAGCATAATGGAACACGATTTCCACGCCAAGCACAACAGCACATGATCTTCACCCAAAGCATAGTGATGATGGATATCAGTACACTTTATCACGCTTTTAAGGAAAGCAGAATAGCTTATAATATTTTAACATGACCATTTTAGAAAAAAACGAAAATCTTCTGAACTCAATATACTCATAATTTACAATTCACATAAGCTCAAATCAAGTGGTTATTTTAAAGTAAGCTTCCACAAAAGCAAGTTAGTTACATATTACATTTGATGTCTTGCGGTCTGAAGTGATTATGGCAAAATATAAAGCCTAATCGTAAGGAAAAATATACTGCTGTGGCATTTGGTATAGAATACTGACCTTCTCGCGATCTCAACCTTTGGAAACGAGCTAAATATGCCGAAACACGAGAATGCGAGATCGTGAGAAAAGGAAATTTGGGCCATAACATCACGGGGTAGAATAGGTCTCCAGCAACCCATGCTTGGCGTAAAAGGCGACCATGCTTATCGTAAAAGGCGACTAACGCGATCGGGTGGTCAAGCTCGCTGACTTGGTTGATGTATGTCATCGTATCCCAGTTGCGTGGATCGATATTTACAGACCGCCGTCATATACTTGGAATATTGCTGAGTGCGGCGTTAAATAGCAAACAAACAAACACACATTTAAGAAACATTTGCTAGGCAAATGATATTCAATTATAAATATTATTTTAAGTGTTACGAAACACGTGAACACTTGCACGGAATTTAATTGGCTGATATACGTGAACTTTGACTCATATAGCAGGAATGTTACCACGTTAAACAACAAACAATAAATAAAACCATTTTGAAAGCTTTACTGAGGCTTCGAATGTTGTCACCTTGATCAAACAACTGAGTGAGAGTCGTGTGACGCTCTTTGAAATATTGGTAGAAAGCGGAAGCCCGATAGAACGTCAAAAGTTGTGAAATGTAAACACCAGAGGCTGTAGCCGCTGTGAAATATCAACACCAGAGGCTGTAGCCGCTGTGAAATGTAAACATCAGAGGCTGTAGCCGCTGTGAAATGTAAACATCAGAGGCTGTAGCCGCTGTGAAATGTAAACATCAGAGGCTGTAGCGGCTGTGAAATGTAAACATCAGAGGCTGTAGCCGCTGTGAAATGTAAACACCAGAGGCTGTAGCTGCTGTGAAATGTAAACATCAGAGGCTGTAGCCGCTGTGAAATGTAAACACCAGAGGCTGTAGCCGCTGTGAAATGTAAACACCAGAGGCTGGAGCCGCTGGGAAATGTAAACATCAGAGGCTGGAGCCGGTGAAATGTAAACACCAGAGGCTGTAGCCGCTGTGAAATGTAAACATCAGAGGCTGTAGCCGCTGTGAAATGTAAACACCAGAGGCTGGAGCCGCTGTGAAATGTAAACATCAGAGGCTGGAGCCGCTGTGAAATGTCAACACCAGAGGCTGTAGCCGCTGTGAAATGTCAACACCAGAGGCTGGAGCCGCTGTGGAATGTCAACATCAGAGGCTGTAGCCGCTGGGAAATGTAAACATCAGAGGCTGTATCCGCTGTGAAATGTAAACATCAGAGGCTGTAGCCGCTGTGAAATGTAAACATCAGAGGCTGGAGCCGCTGTGAAATGTAAACACCAGAGGCTGTAGCCGCTGTGAAATGTAAACACCAGAGGCTGGAGCCGCTGGGAAATGTAAACATCAGAGGCTGTAGCCGCTGTGAAATGTAAACATCAGAGGCTGGAGCCGCTGGGAAATGTAAACATCAGAGGCTGGAGCCGCTGGGAAATGTAAACATCAGAGGCTGTAGCGGCTGTGAAATGTAAACATCAGAGGCTGTATCCGCTGTGAAATGTAAACATCAGAGGCTGTAGCCGCTGTGAAATGTAAACATCAGAGGCTGTATCCGCTGTGAAATGTAAACATCAGAGGCTGTAGCCGCTGTGAAATGTAAACACCAGAGGTTGTAGCCGCTGTGAAATGTAAACACCAGAGGCTGTAGCCGCTGTGAAATGTAAACACCAGAGGCTGGAGCCGCTGGGAAATGTAAACATCAGAGGCTGTAGCCGCTGTGAAATGTAAACATCAGAGGCTGTAGCCGCTGTGAAATGTAAACACCAGAGGCTGGAGCCGCTGTGAAATGTAAACATCAGAGGCTGTAGCCGCTGTGAAATGTAAACACCAGAGGCTGGAGCCGATGTGAAATGTAAACACCAGAGGCTGTAGCCGCTGTGAAATATCAACACCAGAGGCTGTAGCCGCTGTGAAATGTAAACATCAGAGGCTGTAGCCGCTGTGAAATGAAAACACCAGAGGCTGGAGCCGCTGTGAAATGTGAACACCAGAGGCTGTAGCTGATGTGAAATGTAAACACCAGAGGCTGTAGCCGCTGTGAAATATCAACACCAGAGGATGTAGCTGCTGTGAAATGTCAACACCAGAGGCTGTAGCCGCTGGGAAATGTAAACATCAGAGGCTGTAGCCGATGTGAAATGTAAACACCAGAGGCTGGAACCGCTGTGGAATGTCAACATCAGAGGTTGGAGCCGCTGTGAAATGTAAACACCAGAGGATGTAGCTGCTGGGAAATGTAAACACCAGAGGCTGTAGCCGCTGTGAAATGTAAACATCAGAGGCTGTAGCCGCAGTGAAATGTAAACACCAGAGGCTGTATCCGCTGTGAAATGTAAACACCAGAGGCTGGAGCCGCTGTGAAATGTAAACATCAGAGGCTGTAGCCGCTGTGAAATGTAAACACCAGAGGCTGTATCCGCTGTGAAATGTAAACACCAGAGGCTGTAGCCGCAGTGAAATGTAAACACCAGAGGCTGTAGCCGCTGTGAAACGTAAACATCAGAGGCTGTAGCCGCTGTGAAATGTCAACACCAGAGGCTGTAGCCGCTGGGAAATGTAAACATCAGAGGCTGTAGCCGCTGTGAAATGTAAACACCAGAGGCTGGAGCCGCTGTGGAATGTCAACATCAGAGGTTGTAGCCGCTGTGAAATGTAAACACCAGAGGCTGTAGCCGCTGGGAAATGTAAACATCAGAGGCTGTAGCCGCTGTGAAATGTAAACACCAGAGGCAGTAGCCGCTGGGAAATGTAAACACCAGAGGCTGTAGCCGCTGTGAAATGTAAACACCAGAGGCTGTAGCCACTGTGAAATGTAAACGCCAGAGGCTGGAGCCGCTGTGAAATGTCAACACCAGAGGCTGTAGCCGCTGTGAAATGTAAACATCAGAGGCTGTAGCCGCTGTGAAATGTAAACACCAGAGGCTGGAGCCGCTGTGGAATGTCAACATCAGAGGCTGTAGCCGCTGTGAAATGTAAACATCAGAGGCTGTAGCCGCTGTGAAATGTAAACATCAGAGGCTGTAGCCGCTGTGAAATGTAAACATCAGAGGCTGGAGCCGCTGTGGAATGTAAACATCAGAGGCTGTAGCCACTGGGAAATGTAAACATCAGAGGCTGGAGCCGCTGTGAAATGTAAACATCAGAGGCTGTAGCCGCTGTGAAATGTAAACATCAGAGGCTGGAGCCGGTGAAATAATGGTCGTCACAACGGGAATGTTGACTTGTGGAAAGTGTTTTTGTTACTGAATCTCAAATTATGCATAGATCCAAGTATGAAACAGACGAGGTGGTCTCACTGGTCTCCTTTATTTCTATTTCAGTTCGGTAAATCAGTGAAAGGGAATTGGCTATTTGACTATTATTGAACCCTATTAGATCATTGATACATACATGAGGTTTAAGTTAAACGTCTTGTCCAAATTGCCTCTGTTTCACTTCGACTTAACAAATGAGAGGGTGTATTTTCAGAAATACATGTATATGAGCAAACGACTAATGACCACTCTCTTTCCAAGTCCCCGTATACCTATAACAATCCTGGGGGATTCATCATTCTTGTAAACCAGTCACTTCTAATATTATCTCTCCCCTCCTCCCCCCCCCCCCCCCCTTGCTACATTTACATTTCATGACCCCTTACTCTTTTTAAGCAGTATATCAATTACAACAAAGGATGAAATGTGTATTATCAGCATATGAGCAATTTGTTGTTATGGCAATGAAGGGAGAGTAGACTTAGGGTTTGAACTTATTTTTTCTTTCAGCGCGATGTTTCGCTTCAGACTTCATCCCTGTCATCACATTGTCGCCCTCCTTTGTTTTGTTTTTATGTTACTATCTTTATGTGCAGTTCGTGGCTATATAACCATGTGCTACCATGTACCGAATTAAAACGTAGCATTACAAGAATGAAAAATGTGAAATCCATATGACATTGATAAGAAACATTACTTTTATATTGATTAATAAACACATGCTCATGACATAGTTGGAATCGCACACTCGAGATTTCTTAGGAATGTGGACAGGGTTTTGTCGCTTATATCTGAACAGTGTTCGGATATTAGCATTGTTTACATACTGTATATATGCTTTGGACAAATCTCAACAATCAGTCTGTTATTTGTGTCAGGAGTTTACAAAGCATAAATAGTGTTTGGAAATGTTTACATACACTGGTAGAGCAGTATAGCATTGTTGTCACTTCATTGAGAACAGGGTTTCCTTAACAAAGTACTTTCAAAAGAAGTGATAAACAAACGCAAGCTAGTGTATCCCTTGGCAACTACACACAAACAAACATTGAAATGTTCATTAATTATAGGTTTCTCATTTGCCAGGCGAATGTTTCGGAAGTGACAACCAGCTCCAAGGTATGTGGAGATTTCTATTATAGAATGATTTGAATTGAATTGTTTTAAAGCTTTAATTCAATATGACTTATATCGCTAAAGATTTGTTTGTTGTTTGTAGTTGTCGGCAATATTCCAGCTATATGACGGCGGCCTGTAAATAACTACACTCTTCAAAAAAAGAAACGCATAGGTAGTATATAGTTCATCGAACCTGATTCCACAAAAAATCCGGTATATAAATTGAAAATATGTTATGAGAAAAATGTTGGTGGCCCGATATTCGACAAACGGTGCGTCATTGTCGATTTGCAATGTCTTAAACGGCATTCTTTTCAAAAAATGTTAAAAAATGTCATGGAGGAAAACAGTAAAGCAAAATGCACGTGCCAATTATGAGTGAGTGAGTGAGTTGGGTTTTCACGCCGCTTTTAACAGTATTCCAGTTATATCGCGGTTTGTCAGTCCGACTCATTGACTTTGAGCTGCGAGTCCTTGTTTTATTCCCTTTGTGCCGAGCAACTGTGTGAGTGAGTGAGTGAGTTGGGTTTAACGTATCTTTTAACAGTATTCCAGCTATATCACGTCATCTTCATGTGAGAGGAAAGCCCGAAGAGATGCAGGTCTCAGTCGTTTACCACTTCGGTGAAACCCATGAGCACGGGTATGGTGCTGACAAACCTAGAAACATAATCGGGGCCAACCGGGACTCGAACCCACAATCATAGGTTTCTGGCGTGCCCAAGGGACGCAACTCTGCACAGCGAATCGCGGCTCCTTAGACGACTGGGCCCCCGTGCCCCCTCAAAACAATGTTGTTTAAACATGTTAGGTGCTTAAGTTCTTTGAATATTGGCCAAGCTTTATACAGGTTCGATCAATCTGACCCTGGTGTCTAATCGTTGAACTTGTTTTGTCCAACTACCTTATCTTATCAGGTTCTACTACACCAAACCAGAACCAGTTGGGTTCAGTGCAGATCGAGAGATATCTGCAGGCTGTGATTGGAGGATATTCTGTAAGATTTTTATGTCTTATAAATGTACATCCATCCAGTTATTAAAACTGTCTTTTCAACATGATGACTTATGCTGAATGTGACCACAGCTTCGTATTTTCAAGGAGGTGACATTTGGTGCGAAACTGGGGGTGGTGTGTTTAGCTTCCTGTACTCGGAAAAGGAGCTGGCTAAGCTCGTCATTTTTTATGTTTTTATTACTGCTCTACTGTGCACACACGTACAGGTAATAAATGTTGAATGCTTAGTTATTTTTTTTTTAAATATAACGTTACTATATAAGTCTAACAATAACTTTGCTGTTGGTCCTGTCTGCCAAGCACGGTGGAGGGACAACTTGACCCGCGTTAGGGTCTGTATGCAATTTCTAGTCCGTGGTAGGACCATGCTTAACGCCCCCGCCTGCATCATCCACACTCTGCCCATTATAGCCCACAAAACATCATTGTTTGTTAATTTTTCCTTCTAAGGTAGTCTGAATATAAACGAATATAAACAAAAGCTAGAGGCAATATACTCTTTAATCTGATATTGTGTAGTAAACATGTGTTTTCCCAAACAGAAGGTAACGGTATCACACTGGATATACACGTTAGTATGTCATGATTTCTTGGAAGTTTTAGATGTCAGAGAAGGGGCTGCTTCTCTGTCTTAAACCTCTTGGTGCCACAAGTCCATATATGGTCCTCACATTTCACACCCTTTTAGTGCAAAGGGACCATATATGGTCCCGTAAAATGTCCTTTTTCAACTGTAAATTTACATGTCACTGAGTGCTTATAATTATAACCATCATGACCCTAATCATCTCAGCTTTAACATCGTGTAACTCATATTTTATACAGTGCTACAGATTGGGAAATATGACGAATTAGTAAAGTGGTTACCGCGCTTCTCGACCTTTTTCAGCCATATTGAACTTGTTGAAACGTATGCTATTATAATATCAGACAGCCTATTTCGAAAAAGAAATATCAGACTGGCCAGAAAGATTAACTGTTCCCCGCTGAACAGTTATTGGCGTGAGACTACCAAGGTTTGGTCGGTAAGTTGTTTGTTTAAGCATTGCATAATTATTATTATTATTATCGAACGTGTTTCATGGCCGTTATAGACCAAACGACAGTGCAGATTGTCTCTCTGTTTACGATGCTGATTTACATAAGTTACTAGTATTCAAATTTAAGATATGGAAAATAGCTATGATCGTTAATATTACGGTCGTATAGTGTATATTTATGGGCAGGAAGTCCATGATCAAAAGGTAAACATTGAATGGACAAGCCCGAAGTGACCGACAGGGCACGTTCGCGTCATAGCAGTGCCGCGATTTCTTGTCGACCAGTTGTCCTACATGCTCGCCCGTTTCGACAAATAACTGCTGCTTTTTTCAAATGAAATAAGAGCCATGGGTTATTGCTCCAACTACCTGCCCGCGTGAATGGATTGTCCTAACCGTTTCACATTTTGTCGCAAAAGGAGATTTCAAAAGTGTGGTCACGACATCTAACGTTAGTTGACGCCATATTGTAAACAAATTGTGTCAAGGTCGGTTTCACATGTGGTAAATCGGCCCCCGTTTCTGTACACGGTACACGCGAAACATGTATTGAAAACATCAACATAACGTCTAAAATGATGACAGCAATACCCTTTTTGTTGAGTAAACCGCTTGTGGGTACGAAGTGCTGTAAAGTTCGATTTCTTTTTCCTTTCATTGAAACTGTGATAATAGCGCTATGATTCGTTTGCTGAAATAGTATTTTTCGTGAGTCTAATGTACATGGTACATGCTGTGATTGTACAAGATAATTGATTACCAATTGTGTATGACACTGTATATATATATATATATATATGGAGGTTTCCACGGCGTCGTTTTCTAATTTTGGTATGTAAGTATATGTGCTTTTCATATCAGTTGGAAGGCTTGATATTCCAAGAAAATCATGTTTAAGAGAAAGGAATGTTTTACAGTGAGAAAGCTGTCAAAATGGATCCATTTTTAACAACTTTTTTTTAAGCTTTGTTTATGAGCTTTACATATTAGAATCGTGCATGGTTCAAATTAAAACATAAACAGAAAATATATGAAGGAAGTTTTGTTATGGTGGTCAGTATACTTGAATCGCTGTGATACTGTTAAATCTTGTGAGGGTATGATGAGCAAATCCGTCTGGTATAATAATGAAATCAAAATTGATGGTAAGCCCACAATGGCATCAAAAGGGTATAGCATATTTAAATGACTTCATTCATGACACAGGGAAATTATATGATTTTGATGAATTTGTACAAAAATACAGTTTGAAGACAGACTTTTTGACCTATGAAGGACTAAAACTATAAATAGTCAGGTATTTACAGAATAACAATATTGTGCTAAAGTTTGCCAAAGACCTGTACTGCCATATAATGTATCAAAAATAAACAATAAAAGGGAAGCAAGGTATTTTATGAAGCCCTTTTAAACCTTAAATTTATAAAACATAAGTGCTACAGTAAATGGGAAGATTTTCTTGAAAAACAGTATACTGATACAGAGTGGACAAACTTTAACCAAATGGCAAAAAGATGTACAAAAAGTTCTGAATTAAGATGGTTTCAGTTTAAAGTTAAACATAATATTTTAAGTACTAACTGTTATTTTTTTTAAATTGGACATGTTGAATCGCCAGTTTGTAATGAACCATCTGAAACAATTACTCATGTATTATGTAATTGTCACTATGCTGCTGATATATGGACGAAACTTTAATATTGGCTTGGAAACTGTACAAAAGGGAGAGTTAATTTTAGTCATCCACACATACTGTTTGGATTTAAAGAGAAGAATAACAATACACTCAATGCAGTAATGTTGGGCACAAAATCTCTGCTGTACACATTTAATAGCCGTGGTCTTGTGGTAGAGCGTCCGCCCGGAGAGCGGAAGGTCCGGGGTTCGATCCCCGGCCGCGTCATACCAAAAGACGTTAAAAGATGTTACTTGTTGTTACCCTGTCTGGCGCTCGTCATTCAGGGGCTAAAACAAGGACTGGTCGGCTCGGAGTCAGTATACTGTGTCTGAGTGGGGTATTCATGTATCTCAGTTGGCTAGCACTATAAATCGGCATCAATCCGGACTAGTACAAGCAGCCACACAAACACACACACGTACATGCACGTCGCTTTATAAGTGCAATAATCTTGGACGCGACGTTAAACCCAATTTCACCTCACCTCACATTTAATAGAAAAAAGTCAAACCAATTTTTTTACTCATTCAAAAAGAAATACTTCGATATTATGAAATTACAAAATGTATTGCATATTCAAATTGTAATTATGCAAGTTTCCATGCCTTCTGGTCTTCTCTACATGTGTTATTTAGAGACTCTGTATAACTGTGAAATATGATCTGTCAATGCTACAAACATGCCAATAATGTCACAATAAATCCATGCACACTCTATGTATGATATTGAAGTGTAAAATATGATGGAAAATGGAATAAAGAAATTTTAAAAATAAAATAAACAGAAAATATATACAGTCTAGAGGTTATCACGCGAGTGTGTTTGGGAATGGTAAATATCCTGCATTAGGAATAAACATTGTATTTAGCGAGCCTTGGAGGAGAATGGTAGGAAGAATTAGTGAATTAAAAATAGATACATTGCAGATTTCTGTTGAAACTATCAAATTATTGCAATGTATCTTTTTTTTTAATGTTACGTTTTTGTACTGTGTGACGCCATGCCTGACACAAAAATAACGCACAACGATAACGGTATTTTACGGAATTCTGACTATTTCCTTCGGTTTCAATCAAAAATATAACAACGCCCAAAACATCCGACATCAAACTATCGTATTTCCTCTATTTGACGCCATGCCGTCTGTTAATTTCGCGAGAGCCCTTGACTCGGCGTGTATTAGAGACCTGACTGGTATTGGAGACCCAGCGTGTATCAGAGGAAATATAGATACGTTTTACATTTCATATGGGGTGATCGATCGG